GATCCCTATTAAGTACTTTTAAATGTTTCTCACTTTGCTTCTTGACAAGGGCCTTGAATTTATTGAATATTCCAAACAATTTTGACTTTTCCTTTAAGAAATAGGTCCATATTATTCTAGAGAAGTCATTAATGAAGAGTATGAAATACCGGTTGTTGTGATGTCATTACAAGAAAAACAAGTATTATCGATGACCAAAATTGATGGATTTCTAACGAGCCAAAATCGTTGGTAATAGTACTGTTGGTAATACTTACTGATGGAATTTTATATTCGTCGCTAGATACTGACAGAAAAATCCATCAGTAATTAGGAGAAAAATTCATCGATAATTACCGAAAGAAAATCTGTCGATAAATTCTGTTAGTAAATATCACAATTTGGTTCATCTTCCTTTTCTCTCCTTCTTTCTTTTAACTTTCCTAATCCAGAAATATCAACATATTGCAAATGAAAGAGGTAGCTCATCTTCAATCCAATAGAATTTAGTCATTACAATATCTAATAAAATTTTGAGGAAAACATTATTAGAGTTCAGGCTAATCCAATAATAGGAGGTAACAGTGGAGGCTTCTTCTTCCCAAAAAAAGTGTGTGGTAGTGGAGCAATTGCAACAATGGTGCCCTTGTCATAGTGGTTGATTCATCATAGTGATGCCCTTACGCGATTTAGTTCGTCGTCTGTGGTGGAAGCTAGAGGACTCTTTATCACAGTGAGTTGTCTCTTCTGGTGTCGTGAAAGGTCTTTGTGGTAATTTAAATTTTGCCGATAGGTTTATCTTTGTGGGTAAAATTTCGTTGATAATTCCAAAAATTTTTGTAGTGTGTTAAGGCCCCATTATCGGTCCACAAACATCAGTATCAATCAACTCTAGTAAGTCTTTTGTTTTCCATGTTTTTTCTTGTTGAAAGTGGTAATCGATGTTGTTTGCCAAGGAGACATCCTTTGCATGATTCATTATTCTTCTTCAATCATGGAAGATCTCTCATTATGTTTTTTTCATATAAAAGTTTTAAGACATGTATGTTGAAATGGCCAAATCTCCTATGTCAAAGTCATAAGTCATCAACTTCTACCTTCATGGTAATATTAATTCCATTTTTAAAGCTTATAGGAAAACTTTTATTTCTCTTCACCATTTTTATTTGGCCAATTTTTAACCTTCTACTATATAAATTTTGCATGTATATATCTTTCTCAAAGTGAAGAGAATATTCATTTTCCTTCATTTGCCCCGAGATTCAACTGTGGTGTTGTTTCCCAATCAAACTTTGACATTGACAAATTTATCAATGTCTTTGATAATGCTTTGATCTTTGGTCATGTGATTGATGCGTCCACTATCCAAGTACCAATTTCCTTCTCCGCTAGAAGATTCTTGATTGGCATGGAATAAGTGTTTCTCGTTATTATGTTATTCGGCAAAGTTTGTTTGATGCTTATTTTTATTACGACAATACTTTTCAACGTGACCAAATATCTTATAGTATGAACATTGAGGTTTTCCATGATGCCAACAATAATATTTTTTCCGAATGACTTATCTTCTTACATATGTCACATGAAAGATATTTTCCTTAACAAGTTATAGAGAAACTTCTAGAATTTTTTTTATTTATAGAAATTTCTCCTATACTTTTATTTCCTTCACACTTTTTATTATGAGATCATAATTTTAGTTTCTATTGATAGATATTTTCGACAAAGTCCTCTTCACACCTTTTCAATATTTGTTCATAAGCTTTAAGAGAGCCCATTAGTTGTCTTACTGACAATATGACTAAATCCCTTTCTTGTTCAATCGTGGTTGCAATTGCATCATGTTTTTGGGAAATAGGAATGAAAATTTTCTCAACGATTTTTTGTTAAGAATATTTTTCCCATAAGCTTTCACATGAATAATTATTTCTTTTATCAGAGAATAGTAGTATTTAATGATCTTAAATTCTTTCATTCTTATTTATTCAAACTACCGTCCTGGAGAATAAATTTTAACATTGTGTATGTCATCATTTCCATGAAACTCCTCTTGTATTATGTTCAAGCTTGCTTTGCACTTGTGAATCCTATTATTCTTGGAAAAATTGTGTCATCAACTATTTGTTAAAGAGAAAATAAAGCCCTTGAATCCTTTTGCTTGTTTTCCTTAAACTCGTTCTTCTCAGTTGTAAAGAGAGT